ATATATATATATATGTATAATACATATATATATATTTGCATTTCATTTTATTTCCTTTTTGGGTTTTTTAGCTATGTCTTTTTTGTGCTTGCTCTAGGGATTCCATATGTATCTTAAACATCACAATCTCTCTTGAATGAGTAGTATACAACTTCATTTCTAATGTGAAAACTATATAGCAGTATAATTCTATTTACTTATGTTTTTGTGCTACTTTAATATTGTTTTCCCCTTTTTAATGACTGCATAAAGATTTTCTCTTTATCTTTGTGTTTCAGCAGTTTGATAAGATACACCTAGGTGAGGTCTTCAGTATATTTATTCTGTTGGAGTCCATTGAGCTTTGAGTTGATGTTTTCATCAGATTTGCAAAATTTTATTCATTGTTTCTTCAGATATTTTACTGCCTCCCTTCACCCTTTTTATGACACTCCAATTACACATATATTAGCTTGATACCATGTAAGAAGTTGCACTATTTACTTCAATTTTTTCTCTTTCTGTGCTTCAGTTTAGACAACATACGTTACCTTATCTTTAAGTTCACCAGTCTCTTCTGTGGTGTCTGATCAGTTGTTAAGCTCTATCCAATGAAATTTTTATTTCAAATATTTTAATTTTCACCTTTAGGATTATCTTTTGGTTCCTTTCTATGTTTTGTTTTTTTTTTTTTAAAATATACCTCCTGTTGTCCATCTTTTCTCCTAGCCTATCTTTTCTTGCAAATTGTTCCATCTTATTAATAATAGAGTTTCAAAAATTTCCTATCTGCTAATTCCAATATCTGGGTCATTAGTGTGTTTGCTTCTACGGACTGTTTTTCTTTTGATTATGGATCATATTTTCCTAATTATTCATATGTTTTGTAGTTTTTTTTATTGGACCCCAAGCATTTAGAAGAACATTGGATATTGTGGTACAATCTTTTGTTTTCTAGAGAATGATTGCCCTTTTCATTTTGGCATTTAGGTTGAAAGCCTAATCATTGTCATTTCTCTAAGAGTTAAATTGAACAGGAACTAATCTATATGTTTAATTAGGTTGAGTTCTTGTTTGAATTTTCTAATCTACAATTTCTCCTATTGTTCCTTCCCCTGAGGAGCCAATTTCTTTGATCTTGGCAGTATTTTAGCTGACAGAAGCTTGGACTTTAAGTTTAAATAGTTTTGGTTCACATTTTGGTTCAGTCCCAGCAGAGTTTCAAAATGCGGTTACCACAAGAACATGCAGGATGAAATTTCTCTATTTTTTAGCTCCTCCTTTTTTATAGTTGGGTAATTATCACCACAATGAAAGTATAAACATTTTGATTACTTCCAGAATCTCCCTTATTTCCTTTTGCAGTTAATTTTCTCCTGCTCTGGCTCCAGACAACAACTGATCTATTACTATAGTTTTGCCTTTCCTAGGATTTCACATAAATAAAATCAAACAGTATGTAGCCTTATTATTTATTTTGTTAATCCTCATCTAAGGATATTTTTCCCATTGCTTTTCAGAGAGAGTGGAAGGGAGGGAGGAAGGTTGGGGGGGGTAGAGAGAGAGACAAAGAGGTGGGGGGGAAGAGGAGGTGGGGGAGAGAAACATCAATGTGAGAGAGACACATCGACTAGTTGCCTCCCACATATGCCCCTATCAGAGGCGGGGAGCAAACCCATAACCCAGGTACGTGCCCTTGACCAGGAATCGATCCCATGACCCCTCGGTACTGGGGCCGATGTTCTAACCACTGAGCCACATCAGCCAGGGCTGTAGCCTTCCCACTCCTGATGTTTCTGAGATTAGTCCATTTTGATCTAGGGGTTAGTAGCTTGTTCATTTTATAGTGAAAAGTATTCCATTGCATGGCTATACCACAATTGGCTTATTCTTTTACCAGTTGATAAACATTTGGGTTGTTGGATCCAGTAGCTATTTTGGCTATTATAAATTAAGCTTTTGTGAACATTTGTGCACAAGTTTTTGTGAGGACACAAGTGCTTATTAATCTTGGATAATTACTTAGGGGTGGGATTGGTGGGTTATATTTTAAGTATATGTTTAACTTCATGAGCAATTGCCAAGCTGTTTCCCAACATGGAAATAGCATTTTGTTTTTGTATCAGCTTTGTGTGAAAGTTCTAGTGGACCCATATTCTTACCAAAATCGGTACTGCCAGTCTTTTTAACTTTGAGGATTCCTAATGGATATATAGTCCTCATTTTTTGCCACTACCGCCTATATTTTTCATTCAGTCTAATATTCTGACTCCAAATTTTTTTGATTCCATTAGGAACTATAATCCATTAATCCTACTGCCTTTTATTTTTATTTATTATTATTTTTAATCCTCACCTGAGGATATTTTTTTATTGCTTCTCAGAGAGAGTGGAAGGGAGAGGGAGAGAAGAGAAAGAGAAACATTGAGGTGAGAGAGACACATCGATTGGTTGCTTCCTGCTCATGCCCCGACTGGGGTGGAGCCTGCAGCTGAGGTATGTGCCCTTGGCTGGAATCAAACCTGGGACCCTTTAATCTGCAGGCTGACACTTTAATCACTGAGCTAAACTGGCCATCGCCCTACTGCGTTTTACTGTTCCAAGTTCTCCTTGTGTCCTTACTTACCTAGATTAAATTCCATGACCCATTATTATTATTGCTTCCTTGCATATGTACTGTCCTTAACTCTCTTGCCCTATTCTGCTTTATTGATTTTATTTTATTAAACTACAACTCTGATCAAATTGATCTCCATCTTCTCTATATTTGTGACACCTGAATGTGGGTGGAAGAAAATTCCCAAGTATGCTAATGGTCTCACTTTATAGTATTGATTAGTTCATTCATCTTCACATTCTCCTGAATGACTATTGTAGTTTTCCCTCCTATTTCATATTTAAATGTAGGTCCTTACCATTGCAAAAAAATATGTGAGCCTATGAGTATTTTTAAAATATAATGTCGAGGGAACATATTCCTCAGGGAGAACATTATGTGAGGATCTTAACTCTATACCAGCATCAGAGATTTGTTTATCAGGGGTTAAGTCTATGATTTACAAATCACTGCTCTTCTAGAAGAGATTCAGTCACTTTAATCAGTGATTATTTTTTTCCTCAAGGTTTTCTTTTAAGCGAGGGTGAAAGACTACTGCTCCTGGCAAATATATTTTATAATCAGAAGTCATAATTAGCATTCATATTTAACACAAAAATATTTATAAAGGTATGCACATAGTAGTTACCTTTTTTGGCCACCCATAATGTTTTAGGAGTGTAAGGCTGGGGGTGCTTGATTTTCTGCAACTATGTAGAGGAGAATGAGAAGAGAGACATAACTGGGTGTATGTCACTAATAAGCCACTCCCCAGAATGTACTTCTACATTTTCTGGGAGAATTTGCTAGCATAGCATTTGGAGCCTGGGTTGTTTCTTGTCTAATAAGTTTTAATGAACATAAATTATATACACAAAATTATTTTCAAAACTAGTTCAAAATACTAAAATATAGATGAATATGCATATAGATTCTAAAATAAAAGCAACTTTCTGTTTGTTATTCTTTTCAAAGGTTGGGGATGATCTAAATTCATTCTTGGTATGTTGTTCGCAATTTGCAACTCAGTTAGAAGGAGCAGTTAAAGAGGAACATCATGTATGTATTCTGTGTAAACTGCCAAGCATAAAATATTGCTTACTATTTTAATAATCTTAATATTAATCAACAATATAAACAAAACAACAAAATTAATAGTATATACTTAAATCACTATTATTAACAATAATTTAGTAATAAAATATTTAATGTTATATTGGTTATTTGACTTGATTGTGGTTATCCAGTCAGCATTATTAGTCTAGATACAATGCCTTAATTAGTTATAAAGAGCACTAGAAAGCATTATTTATTTTTCTTTATTCTTAACATAAGCATTTAGATCGGTGAGTTTTCCTTTGAGTAAAGCATTAATTGGGTCATTAATATTTATATTTTATTGTGCTTTTTTATAAGTAAGTTAATATTATAAAAGTAATATAATTAATAAAAATTAAAAATATGAAGACATGCAAAAAGAAGAAAATAAAAGATACCATAATTCTATTTCCCCAAGATAACCAACTATTAGAAACATATACCTGTTTACCTTCTTGTTTTTCCATAGTTATATATCTATTATTCTTTAAAAATGAAATTATATTTTATGTACTATTTGGCAATACACTTTATTTTTTGTTTTGAAAAATAACATGTATTGTGTTTTATCTGATTATAAAAGTATTCTTGTGGAACATTTGAAAAAGTGAAAAAAGTACATAGAAAAATAAATTACATGTGATCTCACTCTAATATACAAGCATCATTAATATTTTAGAATATATTTTTTAGTGTTTGGCTGTGTATACACACCTACACATATGTGTAAATGTATATATGCATTTATATGTACACTTATAAATACATTTTCCCAATAGTTATTGTGGTAAAATACACATAACATAAACCTGTCTTACGCATTTTTAAAGTTGCAGTTCAGTGGTAATAAGTACATTTATATTGTGCAGCCATCACTCCCATCCATCAGAACTCTTTTCATCTTGCAGAACTGAATCTCCACGCCCATTAAATAATCACTAACCCCCTATGACCTCCTCCTCCTCCTGGCCCCTGGTAACCACCATTCTATAATCTGTTACTATGAGTTTGGCTTCTTTTCTTTCTTCTTTTTGTTTTTAATTTTAGGTTTCACATATAAGTGAGATCCTGCAATATTTGTCTTTCTGTTTCTAGCTTATTTCACTTAACATGTCTTCCATATTTTTTCATGTTGTCACAAATGGCAAGATTTAATTTTTTTATGGCCGAGTAATATTCCATTGTATATATGTACCACCTCTTCTTTATTCATTCATCCATCTTTGGACACTTAGGTTGTTTCCATATCTTGGCTATTGTGAATAATGCTGCAGTGACCATGAGAGTGCAGATAGATACCTCTTTGAAATACTGATTTTGTTTCTTTTGGATATATACCCAAAGTGGGATTGCTAGAATGTAGTTATTCTATTTCAGAATTTTTGAGGAACCTTCATACTATTTTCCATAGTGGCTGTACCAATTTACCAACAGTGTGCAAAGGTTTCCTCTCTCTATATTCTCGCCAATATGTTTCTCTCTCTCTCTTTGATAATAGTCATTTTGACTGGTGTGAGGTGATATCTTATTGTGGTTTTGATTTGCATTTCCCCGATGATTAGTGATGTTGAACACCTTTTCATGAACCTGTTGGCCATCTGTACGTCTTTTTTGGAAAAATATTTAGTTGTCTGGTTATTTGCCCACTTTTAAATTGGGACATTTGTTGTTTTTCTTATGGAATTGTGAAAATTTCTTATGTTTTGGATCTTAATCCCTTATATATACGGTTTGCAAATGTTTTCTTCCAATCAATAGACTGCCTTTTCATTTAGTTTGTTTCCTGTACTATAACTTTTTAGTTTGATGTAGTCTCACTTGCTTATTTTTGCTTTTGTTATGCTTGGGCTTTTGGTGTCATTTCTAAGAATTCATTGCCAAAATCAGTGTCGTAAATCTTTTCCCTTATGTTTTCTTCCAGGAGTATAAAAGGTTTAGATCTTACATTTAGGTCATGGATCCATTCTGAGTTAAATTTTGTACATATTGTAAGGGAACTTTATTCTTTTGCATGTGGGTATCCAATTTTCCTAGTACTTTTTGATGAAGAGGTTGTTCTTTGCTCAATGTGGTGTTTATACCCTTGTCAAAAATCATTTTGCTATATATGCAAGGGTTTATTTTTGAGCTTTCAATTCTACTTCATTGGTCTATTTATCTTTTTATGGTACCAAATTACTTTATTTGAAGGGGCGGTACAAATGAAAGAACATAAGTGGATGATTTGGTACAAGTTGTAGAAAAGGTAAAGGTAACTCCAACATGCACGTACTGCTTTGGTGATCAGGGAAGTCACCCCTGTTGTTATGGGAGGGCAGCCTAAGGCTTAGCTGTCTTCATTGTCTCCCAAGGTGTGCTTGTCAAAGAGATACTCTGCCATACCTGTTTCAGGGCCCCCAAGCTGTGCAAGTTGGTTACATGGTCACTCAATTCTTTGGTGGATTTCACCTGCTCATCCAGGTCATGAGTCTCAATGAAGTCATACAAATGAGAGTCATTTTTGTTAGTGGCCAAAAATTGAATCCCGATCGCCTGGATCCTAGGTCGACGCTCAACTGCTGAGCCATGCCTGGCTGGGCACAACACTGTCTTAATTACTGTTGCTATAGTATATTTTTCAAGATTGTTTTGGCTATTCAGGATCTCTTGAGATTCCATATGAATTTTAGTATGTTTTTATATTTCTGCAAAAAATATGATTGGGATTTTGATGGGGATTACATTGAATTTGTAGATCACTGGATAATGTGGACATTTAAAAAATATTGTCTTCCAGTTTTGAGCATGGAACGTCTTTCCATTTATTTGTATCTTTTTTGGTTTTTAAGCAATATTTTATGGTTTTCTGTGCACAGATCTTTTATCTCCTTGATTAAATTTATTCCTAAATATTTTAAATTTTCTTCTGATGATATAGTAAACAGAACTGTTTTCTTTCTTCTTTTTTTATTTTTAATTTTTATTTATTTTTTAAAAATATATCTTTATTGATTTCAGAGAGAGGAAAGGAGAGGGAGACAGACAGAAACGTCAATGATGAGAGAGTCATTGATTGTCTGCAGCCCACAACCCGGGCATGTTCCCTGACCGGGAATTGAACCCCGATCGAATGGATCCTAGGTCGACGCTCAACCGCTGAGCCATGCCCGGCTGGGCTTTCTTCCTTTTTTTAATATGAGAAAGTTTATTTAGAATGTCACAGAGGTAGAAGTGAGTCATAGAAGAAATGGGCTCAGGAAGCAAGTTAAGCAAAAGAAGAGCCCTTGGAGCTCGGGGGAGAGAGAGAGAGAGAAAGAGGGGAGAAGGGAGAGGGAGAAAATGAGCTTTGAGAGATAAAAGAGGGAAGAGAGGTTGGGATCTGCTCTGGGGAGAGGGAGAGAGAGAGAATGCCCTGGGGAAAGAAGGGAGTGGGAAAAGGCACAGATGTGCTCCATAGAGAGAGCCACCAAGGGATTGTTTCCTTTTCTTTTTTAATTGTTGACACTATTACAGATAGTATCCTTACGCCCATCCACCACCCCCTTTACCCACCTCCACCCAGCCCCAGCCCCGCCCTGCCTCTGGAACATCTCCACACTGTAGTCTGTGTCCATTGGTTATGCATTTATGTTCTTTGGCTAATCTCTTCACCATCTTTCACCCATTACCCCCTCCCCCCTTCCCTCTAACCTCTGTCAGTCTGTTCCATGTATCCATGCCTCTGCTTTTATTTTGTTCATCAGTCAGTTTATTTTGTTCATTAGATTCCATATATAAGTGAGATCATATGGTATTTGTTTTTCTCTCTCTGGCTTATTTTGCTTAGCATAATAATCTCCATGTCCATCCCCGTTGTTGAAAAGGTAAGAATTCCTTCTTTTTTACAGCTGTGTAGTATTCCTTTGTGTAAATGTACCACAACTTTTTTATCTACTCATCTACTGATGGACACTTGGCCTGTTTCCAGATCTTGGCTATTGTAAATAACAGAACTTTGAACATAGGGGATTGCTTTCTTAATTTAGTTTTGGATCATTGTTAACATAAAGAATTCAGCTGATTTTTGAGTGTTGATTTTGTATTCTTCAACTTTGCTGAATGTTTAAATTAGTTCTAACATATTTTTTGTGTGGAATCTTTTAGGGTTTTATACATATAATACCATGTCATTTGCAGATAGAATTTTTCTTCTCGTTTTCCAATTTTTATGCCTTTTATTTTTTCTTTGCTGATTGCTCCATCTAGAACTTTTGGTACTATGTTGAATAGTGGTAGTGAGAGTGGGCACCCTTGCCTTGTTCTTGATCTTAGAAGAAAAGCTTTCAGTATTTCCTCATTGAATGTGATGTTAGTTATGGCTATTCTTACGTGGATTTTTATATTGAATTAATATTTTTCTATTCTTAGTTTATTGAGTGTTTTTATCATGAAATGTTGAATTTTTTCAAATGCTTTTTCTGCATCTGTGGAGATGATCATGTGGTTTTTATCCATTTTGTTTACGTGGTGTATTACATTGTTACATATGTGCTATATTATGCTGTTATATATTATTACATATGTTGAGCCATTTTGTGTTCCAGGTAAAAATCATACTTGGATATGCTGTGTGATCCTTTTTAAATGCCTGTGAATCTGTTTGCTAGTATTTTGTTTAGGATTTTTGCATCAATATTAATCAGGGATATTGGTCTGTAGTTTTCTTGTGTTCTTGATTAGTTTTGATATCAGGGTAATGCTGCCCTCATTGAATAGGTCTAATACGTTCAATTCTCTTTGGTTCTTTGGAAGAGTTTAGAAGGATTGGTGTTAATTTTTTAAAGCTTGGTAGAATTCTTTGGTGAAGCCATCTGATTTTGGGGTTTTCACTGTTAGGAGGCTTTTGCTTATTACTTCAATCTACTGACTGTTATAGGTCTGTTCAAATTTTTAATTTTTTTCACAGTTTGGCCTTGGTAGGTTTTATGTTTCTAGGAATTTGT